CGCTTGCACGGGGGCGCGGAGCTGCCCATTCACCGCCCCTGAGTCAGGTCCAGCCAGACTTACGGCGTTATTTCCTAATGCCAGTTTGCGAAAGGTTGTTATTTACCTTCTGGTTACAGATATTTCAGGCTTCAAAATTATGAGGTTGCACCTTTTTTTTTTTTTTTTTCAGACGCCAACTAGGTTGCCCATTCAAAATACTAAAAACATTTCATGTGGACATGCTTTTCTTTCAGTCTCGCTCAACTGCACACAACTACTTAAAAGAAGTTGAAAATGTTTGATGTAGAAGTTTTGGGTAGGTGAGGGTCTAGAAAGGTACAGGTTCATCCGACCACTTACAATGCATTTTCTCGTGCTTCCTGGTATCTTCCCCAGATGAAGGACATGGCATCATCCAGCGCTTTTGTTATTTCTCCCTGTGTGGCTTAGGATGGGGTGTCCTGTTGCCGGGGTGACTAAGCACAGTTTCAGCCAGTGCTATCCCATGCAGTGTTTCTGGGTGTTTATCCTCAATGTATACAGCTATGATTTTAAAAATAGCACTTTTAAGAAGGTTTCATACAAGTGTATTCATCTGCTCCGGAGTTTGAACCAGCCTGGTGTTGACACTGTATTCCTTTATTTTTAGATCTGTGATGTTTCTCAGTTTCGCTTTTGTGATGACAAGAAATGCCTCAGCCTGAGATGCCTGTCTTCCCACCCCAATCCAAGCTCCAGTTGGGGAGCAGTCAGCTTCCAGCATACCTAGTACATAAATAGATTTGGGACACTACTAAAATGCAGCAATAGCTGCTCAGCTTTGAAATCACGGCTGCTAAAGGAGGAAGAAGCAACAGTTTGTATTCTTTCTTGTGCTCTCTCCTCATCGCTACACTCCTCGTAGCTGGATGCCCCTTGCACTCTTTAGGAAGTGGGAGATGTGGGATTGAATCCCCTTTAGGCTAAGGAAGGCACTGAGCCTGGCCTCCCCTCCTTTCCGAGTGCTTTAGCCCATAGGTTATCAGATAAGAAGATGCATACCTCTTATTCCTCCTCTAGACCTATTTTAAAAGTGAACTGTGTGTCCCCATTTATCTTCAGGGAAGGCCTCCAGGCTCTGGAGGCCCATGCGTACAGGTCCTGATTTAGGTGTGTTTTGGAAGGGAATGGGATTCGGACTTGTGCCTAAGAGATTAGGTGTAGGCGGTTCGTTCTCGGGGTTGCATTCTGGAGACCAAATGTCCAATTAACTTTGCAGTCTGGCTCTAAATCTGTTGAGACTGCCCTGCGGAGGGAGAAATCTGAGTGGGTGGAAAACTGGGTTGATCAGTTTATGATTCGGAACAAGAAATGTGATTATCCTTATCTTACACAGAGGAAGTACAAATAACACTTGGTCATAAACATTCCCAGTTTTATTATCCAGCCACACAATTAATCTGTGTGAACTCCAGCAGCAGTGGATTTTACTGATGATTACATACTGTGTGCAGTCATTTTTTCGTCCTTGTAAATACCATTCATTTTAACCTGCACATTCCTTTTAACAATGATTTTCGTGAATTTTAGGAGGTTTTCACAGTAAAGTCTAAATTTCACTGTTACATGTACATATACACAAATAGCCTTAAGGTAGATTTATGGCAATGCTTTTTCCTAAATCCTAATCATTTAAATGAACGTAGGTGTTTAAATTATTTTTTAACGGTAGGATTTGCTTCAGTGCCATGTGGGGTTCTTCATATACTGGTCTGGGTACTGTTTGAATCTTTAAAAGTATGGATTCTTTAAGAGATTAGTATCAGGACTGCATTTTTAAGTTTCCATGGCAAAAGAGCATGTTTGTGTTGGACTGCTTTTTCATAGCATTTTTATGTAAATAATTGCATCTTGGCATGTTACAGGGTAAACTACTGATACTGCTTCAAGTCCACCAGAGTCAACAAGTAGACAGAAGTATATTGATTCGCTGTACATAGGAAGGTCTGTCTATACAATCAAAAGGACTAAAAACTCTTAAATAACTGTTATATACAGTTCAAACTTTTCCCCCTTTGTGTTCTTATGCGTATGGCATCCTAACATAAAGTTGGCATTGTCACAGAACTGCAAAAACAGTTGCTGTCATTTTTAGATGATAAAAATTATTGGTGATTTAAATTCCAAGTATAGTGATGTAATATGTGCACATCTTTAACATATACTGGAATTAAAATACCTGGTTCTGAATGTTGTAATTATTCCCTTCCCCCAAGTGACCATTACAAAAATGCATTAAATTGTGAAAATCTTTAGTCAGCTATTAACTGTCACATATAAGCTCTAGGGATTAAAAGAGATAAATCAATATTTTGAAAAAATAGATATATGTCATGCTGGATGTGAAAATTACTTACGTGGCAGTCCCGTGTAGGAAGATTCAGACTATCTTTTGTAATGTATGGCATAATGCTTCTGGAAGAGCTGAATATTTTTAAGGATACAAGAGTAATAGGTGAAAGTAATGTCAGTATAAGAATTCATGGTCCTTAACACCTTATCTGAGTGTGTTATCAGAAGCCGCTGTGGAAGCAGATGCAACTCAGTCTCACGTCATGTGTTACAGTGTGCACAAGGGTGGTCTGCCGAAGTGGTGGAATGTTTAAAACCAATAAATGACAGTAACCTTACTCTCTGCCTATGCGGCTCTGCTTACCCACAGGCAGATTTGCACAAATAGATATCCTTAAGCCAGAGCAGAGCTGAGCAAGGTTTTTCTGGTAGTATCAGGATCTGCTTCTTTCTTCCAGTTACTTTCTTGATCTGGAGGAAGTTGGCCCCCAAAAGCCGTCTGTGTTTCTTTTAGATTTGCAAAGCTGCTCTTTCTTAAGAAAGAATACAGCCTCTGTTAGTCACATACTTAGTTATATATCACAAAGCCTGAAGTTGGTTGTATAAAATGCAGACTGTTCTGTTTATGGATGAATTCATTTAACATGTTCCTGGAAATTGCATGCAGGATTCTGATCTCATCCTGGTGCAAACTCAGGAGTCATTCCCCTTTAGCCAGTGAAATTAAATAGGGATAAAACTGGTTTGCGTAGGATGAGTGATAAGGAAACCCTTTAGCATCATTTGTATAGTATATTTACTCAGTGGTAACAGAACTTTAGTGTCATGGTTGGACCAGTGCATATTATGAATTAGTGCGCAAATACCATCACATCATTGAGGTTTCTTGGGAGGCAGCATAACAGTTTTAAATTTAACAGGCATGGCCAGGGTTTTGATGGCATGCTACCCCTTTCTGCATCATCAAACTAAGGGAAAAATAACTGTTGAAATCCCTCGCTTGATCCAGTTAAACTGAGCTTGGGATACCTGCCGGAAAGAGGAGATGAAGATAAATTTGCCACCTGTTTGGTCCACCAGTCCCAGGGATGGCCGGTTACCACAAATCAGTCCCCAGAGCAGCTTAAAGCGGTCTCAGAGCTGCTCTAAGGAGTGATTTCTGGCTGGCACGTAAGCCTGCGGTGGTGCTCTGGACATGGCCTCTTCCCACAGAAGTGTCTTCTGTGCCCAGAGCTGTGAGAGGAAAGGTGTTGGCCTTGCTACTTTGGCTCTCCATGGTCCCAGGATGCCTTTTAAAGCCGTGAATCCTTACCTGGCTGGTTAAGGGCGGTTTGAGGGTCCTTTCACACAGGCACCACACAGCCGAGAGGCTGGGGTCGAGCCAGAGACCCTCCTTGGCAGAGCAGGCTGGTGTTACTGAGACCTGAATGAGGTCTCTGACCTGTTCTGATAACATCATTTCCATGTTCCTGAGGATGCCAACACTTAATTTGTTTGACTTGGTGGCACTGCAGTTCTCTAGCAGTGTAGTGTAATGTGCAGTCAAAGGGCCAATTCTCCTTTCATTTACACTGAGAAATTCCTCTTAGGTGCTCGTCATAGCAGAGAGGAGGATCCTGAACTCACATGATGCAGGAGGCTGTGTGGGTAAGGACAGACATAACGGAGAAGATAGTTATTGAGTGGGCAAATGTTGCAAGAGGTCAATGTGCTGCTCTTGGCACAGGTGAGCCAGCAGGGAAAATGGGTTTCATGGATTGTCCCCAGCAGGTAATGTGAAAGTCTCGGAAGTACAGACTGGAGCATAACTCTCTTGTAGATGAGGGATGAGTAAGCGGCACTGGTTGTTTAAGACAGAAATGCCCAGGGAAACTGGTAGACGGACTGCACGGCAGCAATACTTACTGTTTTTTCTGCCCTGTCCCCCTCCTGCTCCATGGTGTGAAAGAGGAGGAGTTCCACTGGTTGCAGAGGAACCCAAATTCAGCAGCACGGGCAGAAGGACTTGCCATCCAAGTGCTGCCAACGCAGGATGCAGCACACCACCATGCCATTAGGGCTGCTGGAACCATGGGGCTCTTCTCACTTTGTCATCAGTCAGGGCTTGACGTACTACTCTTTAAGCATAACACGTTGGCCTCCGATCTTATCTCTTGCTGGTCAGGAGTATGTATCTAGTGTTTTGATGAACTATCAGTGCTGATGGGCAGTCACTTTTTTTCCTCAGTTGCGGTTTGTTTGCTCTTTGAGGACTGTTTGTTTTATTGAGCGAATTCCTGGCTAAAAATTCAATAGAAGGCAAAGGATAATTAAGCAAAAGACAACGCTGGCTTCATTTTGTGATGAATGAATTCAGGAAGGAGAAGCAGGGAGACATATTAAAACATGCTTCTACAAAAAGGCTCTGTAATGTTTCGAAATAGCATAAAAACACTGCTGCAAAAGGAGTGAGCCTGTAGATTTCAAAGCACTCTGAGTTTATTTGGTTGTAAATAAAAAGGATTTATCTTAGTGTTAGAATGTATACACATAATTAAGCCTTACCTGATGACTATTAGTATGATGGTAAAGAGCTATTTGAATGTAAGTATGGGCATCATTAAGTGAATCATAAATAACCTCTATATTTGTAGTTTCAGTTTGCTTAAAATAGCAGGGTCTTATGCTACTGGCATCTGTTGCTACTTACAGTAACTAGTGGAGAGGCTGAGAGGGAGCTCTTCAACTGAATCACTGGCAGACCTGTAATCCTTTTACTGACTATGCTTCATCTTAAAACTGTCTTTGACCCCAGCCTCTGAGAATCCTACACCTCTGGTGTTTACGAACTTTCTCGTGGTAGTTCAAGCTGGACATAAGCCAGTGTAACTGAGCGGCTGCCAAATGAAGTGATCCTGTTCCCCCCAGCCGTGGTGTCCTTCTGCCTCCTTTGCATCAGAGCTAGTGAAAGCGAGGGTGCAGAGTGGGTCAGACCATGGCACAACTGTTCCTTTTTTCTCTCTGATTCATTAGGCTTGTGCTGAAATTAATTAATTTTCAGTGCTAACAGATCAGTTTAAAAAACCCCACAAAACTAATGAGCCAGATAAACTGCCACGTTCTATCTTCTTTATGGAATGTACAGTACATGGACTTTATTTCTCTTTTAAGATGATAGATGGAAAACCATTATTATGATTTTCCTTTTACATAAGAAATGCTGGTGCAGCCTCTAGAAGTCTTTACGTGGTCTGAGCCATGTTTCTGCACCTCTAGACACTGTGTGCTGCCTTGCCCTTATCAGATCACCACAGTGATCTGTTTATACTGAAAGAATATTGATTTAATTATGAAATTCAAATTGTTAATGAAGAGGTGTTTGAATGTTCTTATGTATAGGTGATTTACAGAAATCAATATCTGGAATGTATTTTATTGAGTCAAATTTATGGTGTTTTATATCCTGGCAGACTCCAAGAGTCTCAACAGATATGAGTGGGCCACAATATATCAGCATTTGTTGCATTTTTTGTTACTTAGAGTAAGCACAAATACACGTTCTGTAACCTCGAACTTTACATGATGAGCCTGTGTGTCCTCTGCAATGACAAACTCCCACAGGACACTCAGGTGTTTGCAGGAGCTGGATGCCCCTCAGAGAACATGAACCTATTTCTAACACACTATTTTCTGATGCAGATTGAGAAATGCTGCCTGCTGATGTGCTTACAACCTCTGAACACCAGCTCTGACACTGATGGTGAGTTGCAAATAGTAACTGTTTCTGATTTACCAAGTGCTGAAACATCAGAGGTAAGTATAACACCTGAGAACAGTATCTTGATTTCAAAAGACCATGAGTTTGGGAAAATCTGTGGTTACTCCCGCCTGCATAAGGGATTCCCATTCTGGGGAAGAGGCTGGAGGAATCTCATCTGCAAATGTGATGAACTGACAAGTATTTATAAACAGGGAATTACTGTGAATCTATTTCTTCAGGCCTATCTCAACTATTCAATTCCTACTGAGCCCAGCCTTGGGTTCTTTCACAATGTTTTGGTAAGTTTAAGAGTTTGATCAAGTAGGTTTGTTTCATAGGAAAGCAAACAGGCTTGAAGTTTTTTTTTCCTTTCTTTTATAAATCCTAAACCAGTTAAACTGCATTCCTGTTAGCCTGGCATCCTTTGTGAAGAAATAAGTATTACACACAGTATGTATGCAATTTCTGTGTAGAAAACAATCTGTGGTTCTACTAGCATCCTTTAACTTATGAATCATTAAGGAAGGTGAAGTGGTTTGTGCTGTCCTCATACTGAGGCACTATGAAAAATAAGTTAAAGACCAACTATCTTACTTTCCCTTTATGATTTTCAGTGTGACAACCACAGAATTTACTCACACAGATAATGTTAATGAATGTTTTAATTCACTCACAGCTGCTAAGTTTCTTGTGTTCATTAGCATCTGACTTTGTGCTTTGTTTCCTGACATCTTCCCACTTCTTGTGCATGCTCCTCTTATGTAGTGAGTGTTTTTATCCTCTGCAGTAAATAACTCCTCATGGCAGACTTGCACATTGTTCTCAGAGATGTTCTGTGCAGGGAGGGGACAGGATGATGAATTAGATACCAGGAAAATTGTGTAGTTTATTTACAAGGCAGTAATTAAAAAATAAAGCCAAATAAACTTAAAACAGCAGCCTCCCTGCACCTTTAAACAAAATTATTCTTCTACTCTGGAATCTGAGTCAGGATGGGGCCTTATGTTCACATAGCCTTCTGAGTATGTAGCAGTGCATTTCAAATACTCACCATTTTCTGCCTACCAGTAATTTTGTGGAGCTATTTAAGTGGCTTAAATTTTAACCCACAGTTATTTGGAAGAAGGATTGGTCAAAAAACACAGCTCATTAATTTTACATAATAGCAAAAGAATAAATAGGTCAGTATTCTGTGCATTATTTTACTAATAGGATCATCTAATTGCTGTGTAGTGTTTATATGATACTTTGAAGATGTAATTTGTTGTACAGGACTAATGTTGTGTTTGACACTTCTACATCTAAGTATACTCAGAAAGAAGTAATTAACTTTGCATGAAATCCTTTTGGGTTTCTGGTGCATGGTGAAAGAAACCAGTGTGGGATTCAGCTGACTAGGTGCCTGTGTGTATCTCTGAGCTATCTGGCTAGATCCCCCTACTACAAAGGGGAAAGAAATAGCCACATTTGAGGAACAATTTGTTTCGTACTAAAGTAGGTACCTGAAAATAGATCATATGAATCATTTCTGTCTGCTTCTCAATGGCAAAGGAAATTTATGGTTGCTGGGCCTGATGTGGGCACACCTAGCAGATAACTAAAGTTAGGTGAGAGAAATCCCTGACCACACTAGTTCAGTGTTTTCTGCAGTGATTTGGAGGTAAATATAAAAGCTGCTTAAAATGAGTCAAATAAGAGTCTAGGCTGGTTGATTAAAGGGACCGGCTCAATGTAACTTGAAGAGACTGTGTATGCCTTATACATATGTACTTGCTTCCAAGCATATTTGACATAGTGAATGAAAAAAGTTTTTCTGCTCTTTTTCTTTGCCCTCCAAGTCTGTGTTTTTCTTTCTGTCAAAGCCTATCAGGATCAGTTCCTAGACCAAACCCATCCAGGCTTGAAGTTGTATCAGCCTGCCCTATCTTCCTTCCAGAGACTTCTGAGCTTCTCAGCCTCTCCTGCTGGGCAGTAGTGTGGGTGGTATCTCTGAAGCTGAGTCACAGTCTCACGTGGTCTGTGGTAAGGTAAATACAAAGCAAATATAAGACCTTCATTCTTTCTTGGATCTATGGCAAACACAGAGCTCTCTACAGCCTTCCCCACATTAAACTAATTGTCTTCTGCTGAGAGTCCTCCCAGCTCCACAGAAGCAGTTGTTCAGGGGATCAGTGGAATCCCCACCTACCCACATTTTGGGTGCCCAATACTAAACGGCACACTTCACCTCAAACCTAAACAACCTCTTTCTTTCCAGGGACACCTTTGCATGTCCCAGTCTGGCTCTTTTCTAGAAAAATCTTTATTTTCAGGTTTTTGCTAACCTTATTAGCAAAAAAATAAAAACATCTTTCTTAGTGTAGGATTGTGTTGTGTTCCTGCAAGGCTTTCTTCAGTTCCCTCCCCTGGAATTGGTCTTTTGGATGGACCAATGCAGGGCTGTGCTTCCAAGGGGCTCTCTTCAACCTTTTCTAAATCTCTCCTCCACTTTCCTTTTTTTGCTGACCAATACAAGCAGCTGAACTTTATTTCCAGCTTTTCTAGTAAGCCTCACCTCCATTGGTGAGGCTAATACCCTCCTCCATGCGCAGAGAAAATTACCTGTCTGCAATGACCAAAAGGAGATGATAGAATATGCAGTGTGACATCTCTAAGATACAATACACATCCTTGTGTGTTGGGAGGAACCATGGGCTGAATCCTCAGAAGTTAATGAGTTATATGTA